AACCCGCGACCGCTGGCACAGAAAGTAGGGCCACTACAAACTGAGCCAAACGTGTCGTCGATATGTATATATATTGTACATTTATATAACGTACATGCAATCTAAAACATCTATTGTAAGACAGCCAGGGTAATGCATAAAAATTGAATATTCAAATTCAAATATGGATATATTATTGCCGTTCTTTAATAAATATACTATTTAGCGTTGGTTGAAAACACGCTTTGGAAACCGTGTCGGACGTACTGCAACATGAATGCGGAAAAGTTATGAAACTAGGAATATGAGAAATTTGAATAACGCACTCGTAATGCGTTAAGTGCCATATAACTGTTACGTATGTTTAAAATAAGAAAGATTTAAAATTTAAGAAGAAAGGTTTTGCTCATAATTAATTAAATACATTATTTTCTGTAGTACTTATGTACGTTCTGATAGTTTTTATAGAATATAAAGTGTGCGTGTCTAGAATCAATTGTATTATCTTTAAAAGTGTTGAGTTAAAAGAGATAAAATATTTAATAATTTCTACTATGAATACAGTGACGAATATGTATAAGCGACAAAAATGACTTTATGGCATAGTAACTTTATTGTATGGTAGGGCAATATACAATTTAAATTTTTAAAATAAGTCATTACATATAACTGTGATGAACATAATGACAAAGTCATTAGAATACTATTCATAGAAACAAAATATATGTATTATAGCTGTGTCTGTTTTATTCGGATAACAATAGAAATTCCGATTACGTGAATGCAACTAGTTTTCGAAGTAGGCGATACATTGAGTAAGTACGAATACCATTGAATTTTATGTCATGATTCATTCTAGGATTTTGGAAAATAATAAAATTTTGTTTTTTTTAATACTTTCTTTGTTAATTGTGGGTAGGCTGTCTGTAACATCTATACCTTCAAGACATGTAACACCTCAGTCTCTCCCGTGACCATGGATGCTGTAAAGCATTCGAAACGTCGGGAACCAAAAATCAAATTAAATCCGCGAAATAATCCGAAAAGATAGTTTTATTTAAAATTTTGTTTTTTTTTTTTTAAAATAATAGAAATTAATTATAAAAATAAACCACTCAACTGCGTAATAAGGGAACTACATAAAATGATGGGAACAAGATGAATAAGGATCTAGTAATTAACTATTTAGCGTAGTTGGTCAAATGTAGGTCGAACAGGATTTTCTCCTAAAAATTGGTCTTTTAAAACGAAATGCATGCAGGTATCGAATATTACTATCTATTATTTTTCACTTGTAAAGAAATATAATTTCATTAATTAACTTAGAGTTGTATCTCGAGGCCCTCGTATCTTAGATAGTTGATACTGATAGGCCGTAAGTTGTAATATATATATATATATTTATATATATATATATATATATATATATATATATATATATTATTAAAAAAAACTCAAGTATTTTGAACGAACAAACTCTACCTCTATAATAGCATATATGTAAATAGCATCATGTCAATGGCAGTGATACTAATATTGTTTCTGAATTCATTCGATATATTCCATATATAATGATGAGCAAACTGCGTGCCCTTTCACGACGCTTACGACCTTTTATATCTCACGTTTACAGTAGTACTTAAATGTGTGTATAAAACATACTCATAGTACACGAATGATTATTATATAATTATATAAATATACTAGCAGAACCCGCGGCTTCGCTCGCGCTTAAAATAAAATAAAAATCTAAAAAGGTATTTTCATACAAACTTTCATCCCCTATTTTACCCTCTTATAGGATGAATTTCAAAAAATGCTAAAACAGGTGCTTATTTAATTTTATTGAAGAGCATTAATACCAAGTTTCAAGTAATACTGATCATAAATATATTTTTTGGATTGTATTATAACGTGTTTTTCCATGGGAATTAGGTAATATTCCGCGGTAAAAAGTAGCCTATGTCACTCTCCAGCCCTTCAACTATCTTCACACAAAAAATCATGCCAATCCGTCACTCCATCGCTCCGTTTTGACGTGAAAGAAGGACAAACAAACAACCAAACACACTTTCACATTTATATTATTAGGTATAGATAATATATGTAAAAAACTCATTGCATATATATTTTGGATTTAAATAATAAGTATATTTAAATTTCTGAAGTTAGGCTTCTTTATTGACCATAACGAGACTCTATCTGTAAGTAAAACGATGAATAAGTTTCTTAAGTTAATACTTGTTAAAATAAACAAATCTTACAGAGTTATTAGATGATTTCAACGTACTTTAGTTGAACTTGTGACCTCCAGAATTATAAGCAGTTATTGCTGCATACGGAAGTATTTTTTTCATGTACAAGAGATCTGTGCCTTTAAGTAATTTCTGCTAGTATATGTGCTATGTTTTTTAATATTGCTGGATATTTTCAAAAAGACAATAATAATGAAAGGGATCAAATACGATATAAAACGTACTAACTACTACAATAATATTCTTTATTGCACTAAAAAAAGTAATAAAAAAAAATACATAGAAAATGATGTGGACAAAGGTGGACTTATCTCTATAAGAGATCTCTTCCAGTCAACCCATGTATGTGGGAAATAGTGTTAAGTAGCGGGACAGAAAGAGAAAGTGCAAAGAAAAGAAAATAAATAAGAATAAGCATAATATGTAAAACAAAATGAATACAATATATAAACATACACATATATATACACACTATATTTCCATATATAATATATAAGCATAAATACATAAATACAAATATTACTTATAAACAATACATAAACATTAGAGAGAATAAATAAATACCAAAACTACGAGTATATACATACATACATATACATACATACATAAACATACTTATATTATTACGAAACAGAAAATATATATTTTTCAATTATGAGCTAGAAAATGCTTCTTTAAATTGACTTTGAATGCATCATTAGAAGGGCTTTCCTGTAGGACTTTGGGAAGTCTGTTCCATAACACTGCAGCGTGTACCGAGAATGAGTTTTGGAAAAACTTGGTGTTGCTTCTCGGTATGTCAAGCATCGATGCGATGCAGGGCCGCCTAGAACGTGTTGAAGTGGGAAGAAAGTTAAACCTTGAACGAAGGTAAGAGGGAAAATTGAGGTTATGAAGGATATTGAACAGAAATGAAAGAATGTGCATATCACGGCGAAGGCGGATAGGGAGCCATTTAAGACGAGCACGAAAGTCGGAAACATGATCGTACTTGCGCAGACCATAGATAAAGCGTATGGCGAGATTTTGAAGACGCTCTAATTTATTTAAAAGCTCCTCCGTCACATCCAAATAGCATACATCGGCGTAGTCAAGTATGGGCAGTAGAAGAGATTGCGCAAGCATAATTTTGGTCTTGAAGGGGAGAAAGTATTGGAGACGCCTTAGAGAATGGAAAGTGAAGTACATACGCCTACTAACCTCATTGATATGAGGTGTCCAAGTCATGTGACAATCTAAGATAAGACCCAAGTTCCTTACTTTATCGTAGTAAGGTATTTGGACCCCAGAGTATATGATCCCAGGGACTGACTGCCAATCTATTTTACACCTAAGTCTGCTGCTGCCAATAATTATGGCTTGAGACTTCTTAGGGTTAACTAAAAGTCCGTAAGATTCGGCCCAAGTTTGTATAGCGACTAGATCATTATTTAAAGCCTCAACAGCATCGGGTAACTCAGTTAACTTAAAATGGCGATATAGTTGTAAGTCATCTGCATACAGATGGTAGGGAGAAGAAATGACGCGAGATATGTTGTTAATAAAAACAGAAAAAAGTAATGGTGAAAGAACGCCGCCTTGGGGGACCCCAGCCGTGAGATCCAACCACACCGATGAAGTGTCATTAGCTCTCACACACTGGCGGCGCCCAAAAAGATATGAGCGAAACCAGTCAATAGCCGCAGGAGAAACATTAACTGCGCGTAGAGTGCCAAGAAGAATGTCGAAGTCAACAGAGTTGAATGCACTACTGAAGTCGAGGAGGACCATTGCAGTGAGTTTGGTATTATCCATGGCAAACCGTATGTCCTCCGTGATGTTGAGCAACGCACCAATAGTGCTGTGGAAGGGACGAAATCCGGACTGGTAAGGACATAGTAGGTTATACGAGGCAAGGTAGGAGTAAAGCTGATTGTGTACAATAGATTCTAGGACTTTGGATAGGATAGGTAGGATGGATATAGGTCGATATTCATTGAGGCAGGTGGGATTTGTAGTTTTAGGTATGGGTATGACAAGAGCATTCTTCCATTGAGTTGGGAAAATATTGCAAGCCAGTGAATAGTTAATAATGTGAGTGAAAACTGGTAAAATCGTGATTAGTTATATAATCTCAATTCGTCATAGATTTTGTTATTTGTGTATTGCTCGATATATAGGTATTAGCACGATTCATAAATATCCCTTGTAGAATGAATAATATACTATTGTATGACAAGAAAATTTTGTAATTATATAATTTTTAACAATTAATAACTTTAATGAAAACAGAATACACAGCGAACACCTAAAGGTTTCTCATTGCAGTAACTTCTTTTTCTAGTTTTAGTGACAAATATTCATATATTAAAGAAAATTTAGGCCGAGCATAATATAATGCGCTAAACAAGACGTAAAATTGCACGAATTTGCATGTGGGTTTGTCGATGTACCTCACGTTTACATTCTATTTGCACAACTCTTACATGAGTCGTGTGCGCACATTGTTTGCTTAACAAGATGGCACTATCACGATTAGATATTTTCTTAAAGATGAGATATTATCTGGTAAGATTTGCAGTATTAAAATGTATAACATAAAAGTAACAGATATGTATTACTACGAGCAAATAGGTTAAATAAATCGTTCTTTAATTTAAATTTTTCTTTATAAATTATGTTATCAAATTAGGTATTTAGGAGTGAAGGCCTCAAACGTTCAATAATGAATAAAAAAGTTGTAAATAACAAAATCAGTTTAATATCTTGCACGTTGACCATACGTCAATGATGACCAACGTAACCTTTCTGCGTTTTCGGGCGGGCAGGCGAGTCGGCGAGCTTTCAGACCCCTTCCAAGCGGGCGGGCGGCGCACGCGCAGACATCAGTGCCTACGCGACGTTTCTCGCGGCAACATGTCTCCCATGTGGATCGTGCTCGCAATACTTCCAATACTCGGTAAGTTTCAGTGATATTCAATAGTGAACGTGATAACTAAAGTGTTATTTTTAGAGCATTATTTTAGTGTTCAGGAACCGTGAGGAAATAGGTAATTGTGTTAGTGCGGTTGCGCGCATCTGATTATTCTGTGCAGGACGTCCGGGCGCGTGAGAATTGCTTTAGAAACAAGGAAACAATTATGCATTGTTTGAATATACCGAAAGTAGTATCGCTTTTTATATCATTTTTTTTTGTTTTGTTAAGGGCGCACCGAGGCAGCGAAACGTAATAACGGAAAAATTGAGTTCGTTTGATCCCTTGCTATATTGTTATTACTAAAACTTTAATTATGCAATTAATATGTAGGATATTTTAGGATTTATTCTATAAATCATACACTTTAAAAACACGATTACTTGTAGTTTCCTCGATAGAAAAGAAATCCAAAATGATCTCTCAAAAAACAAAATAAGCCCTTAGTACGGCGTAAATAATTCAAGGAAGTTCATCAGTTTTTAAATAATAACAAAACTATACGTTTTCTATAACGTATATACTTTACATTTTCAACATGTGTATTTATTTTAATAATACCGTTTCGTCCATCCTAGCCCAAGACACCCCCCCCCCTCCCCCTCCTACATTTCGTCCTACTAAAATATCAATTAGTGCCAAAAGCTCGGTGCCCCCTAAGTTATAGTATTATAGTTAAAGAAGTAAAATGCATTTTTCCCTATAAGTACTTGTTATGTTCTAGTAGGTTTTTTTTCTAATTATTCTATTCTATTAAACTTTATTGTTGTTAAAACCTAAGAAAGGACGACGAAGGCTTGAAATGATTGTGGAAAAAGTTTCAAAAAATGTTGTACAAACGAAAAAGGTTGCATTTAAAAGTATAAGGACAGAGAAGAAAATATAAATTTCGAAATCTATAATATTCATTGTCTTGTGGGACCTTCAGTTTTTTTAGCATACACAGAATATTACACAAGTCTATGAGTAATAATAAATTTATATTTATGCTTAGCAGTTTGACCGTAAAACAGTAAACAGACGAAAAATTTAAAATATATAACACAAAATTATAATATATAACACAATTGATAAAAACCAATATAATAGCTCAGCAAATAATAGGTAATAACCAGTAATGACTTGCATTAGCTTCACTGAACAAATTATTCCATTATTAGTGCGTCGTGAGATTATATCGTGAAGATGTCATAAAGCTCTCGTCAATTTAATGCGCATCTTAATCATGTTTACAGTCAGCCGAAATAGCGGTTCTCCAGATTGTGTAACCTAATATTAAATAAAGTAAATTAGACTCAAAATATATACTGTGTAAAGGTTAAAATCTTGTGCAAGATTGTGCACGAGTCCTTATGTACAGTGCATCTGCATGTCTTAGAGAGGTGCATCTGCATGTCTTAGAGAGGTGCATTGCAAGCGCCTAGTTACGCAAGTCTAATGCACTTTCCATTCGTACGACGCGATGTTAGTCGCAAACTATCGCACGTCGCGATAATCGATTCCCCGGATTTACATAAGTGGTTTTCTCACGACTCCCTTCTTAAAAACTAGGGCGGCGTGACGGCCGGAGAACGGATGTGTTCCAAGGCTTCGATGCGCATCCAAAACAATGTGCCTCGTATACCTAAAACAATGTACGAGTCTACTTTTGTCCAATATTGCATTCACTTGGACACTTTTCAATACTACTCTTAAATTTCATACTAGCTGGTGGCGTTACTACTTAACGGAAGCTCATTAAATTGTAATTTTATAAGCTAAAGAGATATTGGATAATATGGAAAGCTTGCCATAAAGCGGATATTGTTTTAATTTAAACTGTCTACTACATAAAATTTTTACAACGCAGTAAATTTATTAAAAAAGCGACCTTCCTTTGCTTTTATTTTGGGTTCGCTAACCTTTTTGTCATATATTTTCTTCCTCTCTTCCATCTTTCTTCTTTCCATCTTTCTTTCTCCCGGGAGAAAATGTAGCCTATAATATTATTTATGACTGATTCCTCTATCCACCAGATAAAATTCCATTTAAATCAATTTAGACATTCTAGAGATTAGCGGGGACAGAAATCGTCAGACGACTCTTTTGACGGTTGTTTAGATTTTAGCATCCTCTATTTGAAGTTGTTAATTTGAAATAATATACTTTTAAGTAAGTATAAATAGCACCTCCGCTTTCTTTTCGTACTTTACCGTACTTAAAATTTTAACAGATACCATCTCTATTTATTTTAAAATATTCTCTTCACGGATTGGGAAACTAAAACTAATATTACACATTTTGACATTTAGACAAGTTAAACAATGATGTTCTACAGTCAACATATTGATATAATAATGTGTTAAACAAAAACAATTACATGCGCGGTCATCAAAGCGTGAGAAATTTTGTTACGTGAATAGAAAAAGAAAGTGCCATGGAAGTAGCTGCAGCGTCCGTGAAATATGAAATACTAGCATTGCCCGCGGCTCCGCCCGCGTTAAGATGACCAAAAAGCAAATTGTTGGGTTTTACATATTAGTATACTCTTACATTGCAGTTTTTGTATTTTTTCTCGGAAATGAGATATTTTCCCGCGGTAAAAAGTCTCCTATATGTTGACCCGGATAACCAGGTATCACCATACCAAATTTCATCAAAATCCCTTCAGTGGTTTTTCTGTGATGCGGTAACAGACAGACAGACAAAAATTCTAAAAACTATAGATTCGGCCTCTGTATCGATAATAATGTCTGTTTCAATAAGATTTTCCAAAAAATATTTAATGTACAGATTCGGCTTAGTTACAATTTTATTATATGTATAGATTGACAGGCAGAGTTTTGACAATGAATTGTTTATAGTTGCTAAATCATCATAACAATAAGTTATATCATTACCTTCTAAGTCGTGATCTGATCGTGTTAGTATGAAGCATGTGAATAAATTAGCATAAATATTGATGCGTTGCTGGCTTCTACATAGCTTTAACATCTCCAGGTAAATTTCTATGAAATAAAATTAAATTTCTAAGAAATCTATAGTTAACTGTAACGCCGGCGTGACCGCGGTCACGCCGAGATTGTACTTCTGTATAAATAATTGTTGATACTACTACTGAAGTTCCAGTAACAACTCTCTCTTCAGCCCATAAAATAACTTTATGAAAAAAAATCACATCACAATTTCCCTTTGTGTGTAAAAAAGGAATGTTGAGTTAAATCAACATAAGAAATACTGGATATTAATACCAATCTTTTCTATCCCATGTCAATTCCTTTTTACGCTTACGATTAAAAGACAGTATAATAGAGCAAATAATAAACACGCGTTATAGTTCTTAAAACAAAACAAACACAAACACAAACTAATTAATCATTTTAAATGTATGACTTAAAAACTAAACAGTTGTAATGTTAACGCAAAATTTAGTTCCGTATAGCGTATAGTGTTGCGAACGGAAGTTTTCACTACCTGTTTCAGCATTTTCACATGCTAGCCAAATTTGTATTTATAAGTAATTAAATAGTTTCTAAACTAATCATTCAAAAATACAGTAACATACAATATATCTATACATATAATAAAATTGGAAATTTCGCCGAATTTGTCATTAAGTATTTTTTGGAAAATCTTATTGAAATAGACTTTAATATTGATACAGAGGCCGAATCTATAGTTTTTAGATTTTTTGTCTGTCTGTCTGTCTGTCTGTCTGTCTGTTACCGCATCACAGAAAAACCACTGGAGGGATTTTGATGAAATTTGGTATGGCGATAGCTGGTTATCCTGGTCAGCATATAGGATACGTTTTACAGCGGGAAAATGTCTCCTTTCTGAGAAAAAATACAAAAACTGCAATGTAAGAGTATACTCATGTGTAAATCTAAAAATTTGGTTTTTGGCCGCGCCCAATGCTAGTTACTAATAAATAAATTAGAAAAATCATGATAAATGATATATAGCATATTAAGAAACGTAACAAACATTTAATTATCAATTCTCGTATTTTATACCATTACTCGTGAATGAATTAATATGGATAGAAGTAATAGGATCAAAATTGAATAGTGCTATTTTTAGATAGTACCTTTATATTTGCGTCACAAGCAACGACCTTTCAAAGAAGATCGCACCTTAGTGGTGTATTGCACAATCGCCCCACTCATGGGAATCTCGCTTAACCTCCGACTCGCCATGCATTCACCCGACCTACGTGATGCAACCAACAAATGACCACGATTATCTTACGAATTTTTGCGATAGCTAAAATGATTTTACGTGAATTATATTTTAATAAATTTTTTTTTTACTGTTTTGTCCTTTTAAATATAAAAATGCTCAACTCTATATGTACATATATAGTTCCATATAAATATATTAAATATCATGAGAAGTTAATTGTTATGTTAAATATTATTAATGAAGGGCATCGTTCATATTTCTCTCTTCTTTCCTGGACCTTCAAGCTCCTCTCGATAGGAGGTAGCATATGTAGATAAACAAATTAATATATCAAACATAAAACAGATATGACATGATGATTACATCTGAATAATTATATTGTCATATTTAACTTAATTGACAATTTTATCTAAGCAAATTACGTAAGCCTTTGGGATGTTGATATTTTGGTCATAAAGGTGATTTATCTGATTATTTTCATTAACAAAGTGTAAGGAGATATGCTAGAAATACAACAATAATAATACAACACAGTTCGTGTGAACAAAGTGGAGCAATAGTTTGGCAACGGTTTGTTGCTACTGTAGAGTTGTTGACAGCTTGACACTGTCTAACTTACCGTATAATTTGTGGTTTTACAGCCACAGATATTAAGGCCTTGTATTCACATAAATTATGGTTAAATAATTATAAATACAACTAAACGATAAGATATTTTATTTATTATTTGCCAAACATTCTCATAATGAATTAATATTGATAGCGCGTGTATAGGTATGCGATTTCCTTTTTTCTTTAAAAAGACGTAAATATGTAAGTCGTTTTACTTTAATTATTTCATAGCCTTAAATAGAATATAGCATTTATACTAAAATAGTGAACCGATGTTCTCGTGACCTAAATAATTAATTACTAACAGTTTAAATTATGTAAAAACATTAGATATGTATAAAAATGCAAATTTTTTGTTTGAAACGCTGCGACACCTATTTATTATATTAAATAGGTAAGTTATGCAACTTATGCTACTAATTAAAAATGTTAAAAAATGTTTGTGAAGTACTAATAACAATTAATGTATTTAAAATGCACTATTTACTCTCCTCGACTTTGCTCATATGTCGGGAAAAATATTGTATGGATTATGCAGGATAAAAGATAGGTATATATATATATATATATATATATATATATATATATATATATATATATATATATATATACTAAATTCACTTCAATCCATTCATCATGAATATGTTACAAAAATACGCTCTTACTCAATGACACGTTTTTTAATTTATAATTTGTGTTTAATTTTTTCAGAAATTCGAAAACCTTCATGTATAATGAATGAAAATATTATTTTACATTATTTTGGCCTTATATTATTAGTATGAAATGTTACGTTATATTGTTTATTTAAAGTCAATTCGTTGTAATAAACATAAACATTTTAACAGAGAATTATGTAGATGAAATAAAATTCAATTATTTAACAATTTACGTACTATAGTTGGGTAAACACAAAATTCATTTTGATTACGTAATGGACCTCAATGTAAGACGATAGTAATGTGCCGTTTGACCTATCCATATTTTACCTAACATAAAAACATCCACTTGTTATGACTTAACTTATAATTTATCTGTATTGTTGGATGTAAATTTTTTCCATGGCAATCTAATACTTGAATTTTTAAAAACGTTCAATATGTTACTGTAAACTCTGAATTACCACATTCTTAATATTTTCCAGGAAAATTTGGGTAAACTTGGGTAAAACTTGAATAAAATTTGGGTAAATCTAAGTACAATGGAGTCTATATAATTCCATGAGAATCACTCATTTCATATTTTTTCAAGTATTCAGTCAGTTAATCTTAGGATTTAACAAAATTATGGTTTGGGTAATATATTTCAATTACTAATAGATTTATATTTTATTATAGGGGGAGCTGAAAGATTTAACTGTCGGGGACGCATCCTAGGAGCGTATTATGCTGACGCAAAATCTGGATGTAAAGCGTTCCACGTCTGTGTGAGAGTGGCTGGAGGCGGCATCCGTGACTTCAGGTTTTTCTGTCCTCCCGGTACTTTGTTCCATCAAGAAGCACAAACGTGCACTGACTGGGGAGACGACGATCCTCTCGCCTGTCCTGCCGATATCTACGATGGTCAGTTTGATCTCTACAAGATCGGATCTGGTGAGCTCGCTTTGCAACTAACAACACTTACAAATAAGCTTACGTTTTAAGCAAATTCCATTTTTCTTATTAGATTTTTATATATGATAAATATGTTGTTAAAATGAGTGTTTTCAGACATACAGTTTAATGAGAGGTTCAAGTCCGTGGTTCTGCTGTAAGTCACTTAGGATACGTGTGTTGGTAGTTAGCGAAATAGAATAGGAAAAGGCGCTTTGTATATTAAATATAATAATTATATATCAAATATGTTAAAATTATTAAAATAAAGGCATTATATTAATAAGGCTATTAATTGGTGCTTTAAGAGCAGAAAAACAGAACAATATGTGTTATAATATTGAAAGTAATAAGTGGCGCCTATGTGATAACTTCCAGCAAAGTAACTAAAGCTTTACATGAACGCTTATTATATGTAGTGCTTATGCCTATAAAACTTATACTCTATAATTAGTACAAATTCATTATTTTTAGAATTATTTACCTAGAGTTTAGACAATCGCATAGAAATTAATATTAATTGACGTTTTAAATATACAGGATTCGACACCAAGAAAGTATCGTCTTCTGGAAATCGAGAAGAGGAAGCTGAATTTAATCTTCAGAGAGCTGAAACCGGTGATCAACGTCTTTCACAAAATACTAATGGCGGCGGGTCTGATCTACGAGCAGCACATTCTTCCGACTTTTTCACTGGACAACGTGATAGGGGACGTGATGAACCAGTAGTGCAAACTCAGTCACCAGCATATAACTCAGCGACCAGACAATCTTTCAGGCGTATACCTACAACACGCGCACCTACAACACGTATTCCTTATATAACTACACAAAATACTATTCCTCCTTCCTCATCTCCCCCACAAGCATCAGGTCCCGCACAGTATGACCATTCGAAACGTAAACTTGTTAGAAAACGTCCAGTTCATAATCCGACCTCCCCTCCAACTACACCTGCTCAAACTTTCCCCCCTCAAGCTTTCTCTGAACAATCACAAAATTTTAATCGCAAAAATCTCCCACAGACTAAAGTGAATCCTACAACTATTAATGTTCCCGCTCAATATAGGGATGAGTACGTAGAAGTAAGTAAAGTCACTCCAAAACCGAACAACAATAAATACTTCCAAAGTAAACCCAGTCCGACTCCATTCTCTCAAACAACTCAAGCTCCTGCGACAAAGAAGGAAGGTTTTGTTGAAGTATATAACTATGACACTCAAACAGCTATTGATTTCAGTAAAAATAATGATAATCGTCCATTTAAGGTAAGAAATAGCTTTAGCGTACAATCAGACACTCCAAGAGAATCAGATTTTTCTCGAATCAGAAACAATAACAACAAAGGTTTCACAACATCTACCACTGACTATAATGCTGTACGTGGAACAAGTACTTCAGCAAACTATAGAAATTTTAATAGCGTTTCATATGAACCAGAGAAAAATAACTTTGGTTCATTTCCTGCCGCTAAACAGAGTTATTTTAATAATCCCACAACAACTCCTCCTACTACCACTATATATACTACCACCCGTGTTGATCCACCATCCAATTTAAATACAGTAGCATATAATACTAATATAGGTTTTAATACGCAATCTTCGAACTATGCAGAAAGTATAGAAGACGATGGACAATATCGACCACCTCAGGGTGAGGACGACGGTCAATATAGACCAGAGTTGTACGAACGTGAATCAGAGTTGCTTTCAGGAGCTCATTCTTTAAATATTGCTGCTAGTGGAAATAGATTACCCGAAGAACAAAAACAAAACAAAAAGCTTTCCCAGAAGCAATATAACAATAAAGCAGCCGTTCCACGACCTTTTAGACCTGCTTCAACACCATCTTCCACACCTGCACCTGAATATTACTCAACTACATTTAGGCAGACTGAACAACCAACGCAAAGAACATTTGACTACTATCAAACATACACAACTACATCCCGGCCATATGAATCGCCTTCTGCGCAAGCTTACACTTTCCCCCCAGTAAGAGCTACCAGCACATCAGTTCCTAGAACTACTGAACTATTCCAACCTCGAGAAACTGTGCCACCAACGTCACTTCCCTCATCTCAATTATCTCGATCTACTCGACCTCCTCATTTCTCAAAGCCAAGCAATATTAAGGAAGATACAAGTTACGACTATGCTTATTACGATTCCGATCCAGGATTTTCAGAATATGATCATATAGAAGAATTCGGTAGAACTAAAACTAAGCTATAAGAATTTTATCATAATAATATACCACTGCCATTACGTTAGTCGCCTCTTTAGATAATAATTTTAAATTACGAGTGTTTAATAATTAATTTATTTGATTGATTTTTAGGGTTCCGTACCCAAAGGGTAAAACGGGACTCTCTTACTAATACTTAGCTGTCCGTTCGTCTGTCTGTCTGTCCGTCTGTCACCAGGCTGTATCTCATGAACCGTGATAGTTAGACAGTTGAAATTTTCACGGATGATGTATTTTTGTTGCCGCTATAACAACAAATACTAAAAAACAGAATAAAATAAATATTTAAGGGGGGTGCCATCAACAGACATGATTTTTTGCTGTTTTTATAGATAATAGTACGGAACCCTTCGTGCGCGAGTCCGACTCGCACATGGCCGGTTTTTTCGAAATTTTTCCCTATATCGGATGTAAAGTACATTTCTATTATACACACTTAATATGGACACAATAGTAATGTAATCTAAAGGGGCTTTTTGATTGTAATGTTATTTTAAATTATTTTGTGATACATTTGTGGATGTTCGTACTTCATTAGTTAATAAGTTATTGCTTTTAGTATTTAGCTTAAGTCCCTTATTTTATCATTAAAATATCACCATCAAAAATATATTCATACTATGATCCAATTATTAGACATTTTAAGTGGAAATAACGGATTTAATAAAAGCAATAAGTAAATATATTTTTCTTAAATATATTGTACTTACGAAATCAAATTTAATGTATATAATATCAGAGTATTGGATAATCATAATACGTTCTTTAATTTATATTATAAAAGGAAAATATTTTTTGTCTTTAAGTACAACATAATATAGGGTGACACTCAAAAATTGTGAAATATTTCTTTGTAAATAAAGTTTTCTAGTAAAAAATGTGTTCACATTATTTTTTGTAAATCTAGTAATTATAACTGAGATACTTCCAAGGGAAAATAATAATAACAATGAAACCTATACATATATTATATTTAAAATGATAAAAATGAAAGAAATGAGTAAAAATTTACTAACAATTTATATCTACACTAGCATTGCCCGCGGCTCCGCCCGCGTTCGATGACCAAAAACCAAATACTTAGGTTTTACATAGTAGTATACTCTTACTATGCAGTTTTTGTATTTTTTCTCAGAAATGAGATATTTTCCCGCGGTAAAAAGTATCCTATATGTTGACCGGGATAACCAGCTATCACCATATCAAATCCCTCCAGTGGTTTTTCTGTGATGCGGTAACAGACAGACAGACAAAAATTCTAAAAACCATAGATTCTGCCTCTGTATCGATAATAATGTTTATTTCAATAGGATTTTCCAAAAAAAATCTAATGTACAGATTCGGCTTGGTTACAATTTTATTATAATTATGTATAGAAGTAGTACCTACATAATATATCTCACTCCAAATCATACTTTATCTGTATACCAAATTCCATTCAAATCCGTCCATTGGTTACAGTATGAAGGAGTAACAAACTTACTCGCACACGCACATCAACATTCCTATTTATAATAGCAGATATTAATCTTCCAAAAGCGTTTGAAAATACCTAATATTAAGTAACCTTAGGTACTAAATAGAACAAAAAAAAATGCAAAGAAATTACCCGGTGCTGGTCGAGTCCCGGAATAACAAACAAGAACTAAATAGAACAAACACACTGCGCATAATAATATAATAGAAGAAAAGCTACATACAGAGATAGGGAGTACAGATAAACAATTTTACAGTAAAAAAGCTAACTTACTGATTTGCTTGTCTTCTATCGACAGGCGCTTCTTTTTAACAAAGGCTAACTTAAAGCCAAGAACCTATTTTTTTATTTAGAATAGAAATATATATTCACTTTGAACAAAAAAATCTTCAGTTTAGCCTTTGAGCCTGGCGATAGAAACTTAAAAGCACTGTTATTGCACTCCACACAACGTGACATATATGTACCTACATATGTTTATATTAAACGCAGCGATCTTTCCCAGGCAACCTTTGGATAGAGAGAAAAAAGATAGGGAAGGGGTGCAATAAAGAGTTTTACAGAAAAAAGAAAAAAAAGATAGATACTTGGTGTTAGGTCTTGAAACCGGTTTAACAGAAATCGGTTTGTTTCGGTATTATAATGGTTAATTCATCGCTCGTTCTTCAACCGGTTTATAAAAACGAACGATTTAGTAAACCGAAATAACAATGGTTAACGGTTCTACTTAGAGAAAGATTGGATCTCGGTTTTGATAACTAACTAAACGGGGAAATCCGTTTATCAGTAAGAAACGTATATGTATCTCTTTATTAAGCAATTCAGGAATTGCAAAGAATGTAAACGCATAAAAACTCATTTTAACAGTTTAATTTTGATCATGAAATTTAATTGTGAAAACCCGTTCTCCGGGTTTTAATATAATAATTCTTTCTTGCACAAAAAAGTAGTCATAAAAAATACATTGAAAGTGATGTGGACAAAGGTGGACTTATTTCTATAAGAGATCTCTTCCAGTCAACCCATGTATCTGGGAAATAGTGTTAAGTAGAGGGATTTTAATCGATTAAAGAACGTAACTGAAACCTTAAACCAAAATGCCTGTCGGTTTGAGGTCAATGGCCATAAACCGGTTTCAAAATTGAACTTGGTATTGAGCCCTGTTGATGTCAACATCAAGAGATTGTTTAAGGACTATTATTTATATAAAATATATTAAGTTATATTATATATAAAAGTTTATAAGTGAATGTAGTGTTTGTGTTTACTTCTTCACGCTAAGGAACGGTTCCACGAATTTGAGCGAAATAGTCCCTTTTTAATGTTGGGAATTGATAAATCCAACAGAACCTTTTTCAGCTTATAAACTCTTGCGTAAACTTTAGATACACATATCTATGATTTCTCTTGCGAAACTGACAACTAGACAGAGAAAAATATCTTGACTTTTCGTCCATATCTAGTTGCAGATGCAAAGCAATAGCGTGTTGCTGATTCACGGCTTGGAACAATAAACTTTGTATAGAAATATAGATAGTACCTATGTACTGTACAGTCATGACTTTATACTTATTTCTTGTTAACATAGAAAATGAATTAGATAAGTTTAAGCATCATTATACGAATAAGTTTAAAATTTTGAGCGCCAAAATAAATTTTTATGGCAATTGCGCTAGTAAACTTATTTTTACGGTTGCTGTCCGGTGAGGAAAAGAATTTATAATTATTTCTATTCGTCACTAGATGTCGCAGAACGCTAATTAATAAAAAAATTGCCGTTTATAATTTTATATACGATATTTTATATTTATTTATTAAATTTTGGTCTTCTATATAAAATTGTATAATACATATTTATATACTTATTTACTAAATTTTGCTTTATTTTATACATAATAAAATAATAATAAACAATTACAACAACAAAACGGCAGCCGATCCGAAGATCCTGGTTTCGAATCCTGGTTCGGGTCAAGTTTAACGTCGTCTTTCTATTAAGAAAGCTCCAGGAACAGTCCGAGGTTGGGAAGTTGACGGCGTTTCACCCCCATGTCAAGCACGGTAAACCGACAATCCTGTACTTAAAATCCGGCATAGAAACCGGTCGTGTCGAAGAATCGTCCTATCGGACTTCGACAGAGAAAAGGAACAGATAGTGCACCTGCGTTCGCGCGTATATAAGTACATAGTTGCGCATTATAACTCCTCCTTCCTGCGAAGTTGGCTAGTCTCACTGGGATTGGCCGCCGTAGTCGAAATCGATCAGACAAAAATCATTATCATACTTAATGCCTATGTAAAAACCTACTTTACTTAAGTATTATATTTTTCATTGCGTGTTCGGAACCCTATAAGTGTAAATATGAATTAAACAAAAATCTATGTATGTTTATATAGCAAGAAATGTTTGACGCACCTGAAGAGGCTAGGAAAATATTTTACGCAATTAGAGCCGTAATAGAGAATCAAAAGTCATGATTTTAAATTAGATATTCAATTCTTAATCCCATTCGCTTCCGCTTTATATTCAAGAGTTATTTGAACGTTGGACTTGTTAACATTTGCGGAAAGATAAAATAAGTAATCGTTAAAATTAATACCCACCACTTAAGTCTTAATTTGATAGTCATATTTTTTTTTTTGGAATCACTACAAAAATGGCCACCGAATACATATTATGTATTCGGTGGCCATTTCATACGTCATCATCATCATCGGTCATAATATATATAATGCAATAGCTTTTACTTTAAAGTATTTTTGAAAAATAATTTTTCTAATACCAATTCGTCAAAAAACATTTTTTTATTATTTGACTGACTATGAACTTATGCGTTTTTTTGTGTTCCGTAGCCAAATAGCTGGTAACACCCTATTATACTATACTACTATATATTATACTATTTATTAAGCAGATACATAGGAGATTTTTGAGATAAGAGATTGATGAAATAAATGTGTATAAAAGACGTATAATTTTAGAAAACTTTTAATGAGAATACTAAATTGACAATGTAAAATATATATTAAACTTATAGCAACTGACAAACAATAATGTAAAAAGTTGCTATATTAAAGCGTGAGTTCGTCCATGCTTTCAGAAATATTTTGTTTCACGCGTTCGGCCTCGAAAAAAAACTTTGCTTCTCATAGTAATAAAATATCTGTGAAATATAAACTATCAATAACAATCGTAGATTGGTAAATATTTTATTTTATATCTAACGTAACAAATTCGTTAGTTTCGTTTCGTTATTCGTTAGTTAAAAAGGTCGTTAAAAAATTTGATTATTCATAAAATAGCTTTGAGGTTGAGGCTTATTTCGTTAATATATTGAAAACATCTTCTACAATTCCACTTTAGAAACAATTTGGTGCAGCGATTTTACCTATTAAAGATGCAAAATTTTGTAGAATGTGTCCAGAGCGAAGGCGCATAGCAAGAAAAGTATCTTGCTTATACAAGCAGGTCCTTCCTGTCAATTCATAGATGAATTATTAGTTTAGCCTGAATAGTCTTATGCCAGAATCCATTTTCTTTTGACCTTTTATCAAAAAACTCTTTCCAGATGTCGAAAACTTTTTTCTAACCAAATAAAGGCATTCTGTATAATATGGTGCAACTTTCAATGCGTTTCCTTTATATGTCGCTTTTTTATTTAACCAATTTAATATTGTTATTGAAAGTAAATGACACGCACTATTTATACTTTAGGGTCTTTTATAGAAGCAAAAGTTCGTGTTTAAAAATTAAATATATATTTTTAATAAAACGTACAAGGTAATCGTGAGTAATGTTGCAACACTAGGTATCTGCAATATAATACATGTTCGAGGTTAATGAAACGATAAAATATGATAGTCAAGTTTTATTTAAATAACTATCTTATAATATTAACATTGTAAAATCATTTACACGTGTTAAAATGTAACACAGTTACATTTATTCACAGCAATATATGCTTATATCTAGTTGTTCTGCTAACCAGAATTAACAATTTTAACAAATGAAATATGCTTATTTGTAGGCATAAACCTTTTAGGCGACTACGACCGAGATCACTGTCACAGCGACCGTTTATCTATATAATAAAATATGGTCGCGGTAACGTGATATTGGTAACGTAGTGTATAGCACAATGTAAATTGTTATTCATTGGTGACTTAGATAGTTTTGTGGTCACCTAAAACGTGGACGGGGTTGTAATAATTTTATTATAATCAGTGCAAATTATAAATCTGTGCGAACATTTAAAAAGGTAGTCTATCAACATAATGTAGACACCAGTCTGTAATATTCAGTCTATGTATTACATCACTGAGTTCTCAGTAAATCCAATGAAAGAATGAAATCATTCTTAATATTTAACTTAAAGACTGGCATTGACATTGACTGGCAGAGATTAATTGTGGATAATGAATTATAGAATAAGAGGTAGGTGCTATTGTACAATATATTATGTAAATCGATGTAAGTTGCGAATAAATAGGTATAAGCTTCGTACAATTACACATACATATATGCAAATGTATACATTTTTACAAGTGATGTAACAAAAGAGAACTTTTAATAATTATATAAATTAATGAACAAATCAAAATTATTTTTTTTTCATATTCCCATTTACCAGTCTTTTGTTCTGATATAGAAAGTCACAAAAGTACCATAATTCAGCCCTTTAAATAACCATAATACCATAACATTTCCGAATATTTAAGTAAATATTAAGAATTATTTACGTAATTTAAACCATATTTTTTAAACCTATTATGTAAAATTCAAAAGTACAATCGAATATTATCGCAAGTTAAGGCAAGTATAAAAATATAAAAACCTCTAGACACCAGAATACCATTCACAGAGAAAAATTAATCATAATCCTTAGAAATAAATATCTCAAATTACAAGTAGCAAAATGTAGCTTAAATCATATCAACACTTGAAAAGTTCCTTATATAATTTTATAATATCACATTTTCTTTTCATTGATTATATATACATAAGTATGTAATGTGTTAGAAATAGACAATATTTAATAATTATTGTCTAATTTTAAAATATTTTCATTTTTATCCTTCTATCGTAAGTCGTACCTCTCACTTAAGTACTTAATATTTACCACGGATAAATAAGCAATATCTATAATAGCTCACGTTAAAATTGTGTTGGTCATTCAGTAGAACGATCTTATCAATGTTTCTATCTAATTCTATATGATTTCTAACACAATGCATGCTCTCACTTAAAGGTGTATAAACCTTTAAAATATATATATTTTGAAATGATTTTAGCTACATTTACATTTCTGTGACAGCACCGTATATTAACCTAAACTATGCTAAGACTTGCAGCTAATTGAGCTTAATTTTCCGATTCAGAAAATGAGATTCACTTTATATTTAATTTGTCCTATTTCAGTATACATATCACTCACTACCCCACAACAACGTCCGGGACAACAAATGGAGTTCAATATTCCTTGAACAATATTAAACAAAACTTATTTCAATATAATATAAATGTGAATAACTATTATCCGTTTATCTCTGAAATCAGTTTATAATCGAATAAACTAATTTATATTAAAATGGAAAGTGATTTTGTTCTTTGAAGTCTTCTTATGTTTGTGGTGTACACTTGTGCTAGCTCACTGTGATGCGACGGCTCCCGCCATCCTCTGCCGCACGTCCCCGAGCGCAGAGCCGTTGCCAAAGCTATTAAGTAGAGATAACTTCCTTTCTTTGGTTTCATGTTCTTGCTTCAATAATTCTACTTCAGCTTTTTTCTTTGCTTCTAGTTTCTGTGACAGAAACATGTATAAATTAATTTTAAGCCAGTTTATATAATGAAGCATTGGGATTATATATACGTATCGTTACAAATATACAAAGACTTTTATTACTTTCAATATGAATTATCCCAACCATTCTTAAAGCTTTAAAAGATGTTTTTCTCATATACTCGTAAATTACAATTTTTATAGGTTGAACTAACTGATTTTTAAGTAGAATAAAACGTAATTGGCTTAGTCACAATTGTTTCTATTGATGCCAATGACACTTTCGTATTTATTATGCTATAGTTCTGGCTAAACAGCATTCAATCGTCTAAAGATAGAATCAGAAAAAAAGCATAATGAATAATACTCATGGGCATTTGAACGTATTAAGTCAATTTTCGTAATGAATAGGACAATTATATGAAATGAAATCAACATTTTCTAAAATATGTGTAAATATGTGTTTCTAAAGTATGTATGTATTCAACTCTTTTTAAGGTCCCACTGCTGGGCACGGGCCTCCCTTCAATACGAGGGGAATCAGGCCATAGTCCACCACGCTGGCCAAGTGCGGGTTGGCGGACTTCACATGTGTTTCGAAAACTTGCTAGGTTTTCTCAGACATGCAGGTTTCCTCACGATGCTTTCCTTCACCGTAAGGCAAGTGGTAATCAAGTTAGAAATGATTCGCACATGAAAATATTGGAGGTGCGAGAGTACCCGGGATTTGAACCCGCTTCACTCGGTTTACCAAGCGAGCACGTTACCACTGGGCTACCACTGCCTTATGTGTAAAATATGTGTTTATCAGTTATTACCTGAGCCTTCTTGATGTACGACTGTTTGTAGAAATCAGAGAATAGGTAGTAGAAGAGTACGGCGTGCATTCCGATCCACCAGACGAAAGCGCGAGGGTAGTTGCAATCGATGAAGAGCAGCTGGAAGGCGTGAAAGAACACCAACACAAATTGAACCTAAAATTGAAAATAAAATATTTAAATATGTTACAAACAGGAAAATCTAACGTGATACTCGAGATATTAATCGTAGCTTACTCTTACTTACTTTTTACTTGTAAGTTACTTATAAAAGTAACTTACAAGTTCAAAAATATGAAAACAGTATTAGCATTTGAGAATGTGTTATTTAACGAGCATTCTTGTATTTTATATTATTTCAAAGTATATCGCTGAAAAAGACCTTACAGGGACTCATTTTTTTTTAATTTTGTATTATTGGGGCAAGCGTAGATGATAATAATAGTTGTGATGGCTAACACTGTCTACAAATCTACGAAACGGCATGACAATTGTTCGATAATAATATACGTTAAACAACATTTTAGTTAATCATTTAATTTAGCCTGCAGGTAAATATATAAAATACATAATTAATTCACCTATGTATATAAAACACAGTAATTATTATTTTTGAAAACGAAATAATTATCATAAGCAATTCACACGCAATATATAACCAAAGTACTAAATATTTAAGACAATAGGTAATTAATTCACCTATGTATATAAAACACAGTAATTATTATTTTTGAAAACGAAATAATTATCATAAGCAATTCACACGCAATATATAACCAAAATACTAAATATTTAAGACAATAGGTAGGTACCCATTAGATACGCTGTCGGATGCATTGAAGCTACATTTTTGTAAATCGTTTAAATAATAGCCATATACTCTATATCTATATATACGAGTACGAGCAATTTATTAATTCTAATCAAAAGTAGTGTGCAAAAAATCATGAACAGCAATAATTAACATCATACTTGGAAAAAACCGAGCCTCTAGATATCAAAATTAAATAGTTTTTTATCTTATAGAATGGTTTACTGGAAGGTTCTTTATAAAAGAGAATGAGTCAACTGATTTCCTTTTTGATATTGCATCTGACTATAAGTGTTTACGTCTTGACTGTGTTAATGACCTAGGCGTGGACGACGGGAAACGTCCCTTTTACTTAGTTCGTGATGCAACGGACAGTCTTATTAACCTTGCTGACGAACGTTTAATTACAAACGGCCTTAGAAATATCTTTGCATGACCGCAATCTAGCGTCAATTATGTCAAATCATTTAAAATTCAATAAAATCATTCACCATTTTCGAATTCAGTTCGTTCATTTACTATTTTTTATAGTTAAAAAAAATAAAACTAGCTTATTATGAATTGAAATGCTTGGGACACATGAAGACGAAACATGCACCTAAATTCGAACAAAGGGTTTACTAGTAGCCACTAAAGAGTTCCACTATTCACCTTCTGGCTGCATCATCAGATCAGCTTCCCAATTATAGTACTGTCTTTCGAACTACATGTATATTTATTTCGAACTACACGAACGAAAGAATAATTCGAAGTAGGTAGATTAAAATTGAATTTTAAGATTTGAGTACATTGTTCGTTAGTTCCAAGTGAAGCTAATAAAAACATGTTGAAAATGTAATGCTATTAAGCTTTAAATATTTACACTAACAAGTGCATTGCATGATACCCAGAAAGCACATTCTAATAAATTACTTTTTTAGCGCATTAGCGGTCATTAAGTTTTATAAGTTAAATTGGTTGATACAAATTATAAATTCGGATAATGTCATATTTGTTAATAATAGCTAGGGCTGTCAGTACAGGCACGGTTTCCTAATTTGATTTTCGAATTAGTTTTTCAAATTTAGGCACTCGAATGGACTACTATTTATCTACATATATGTATACTATTTTTCCCCATCCTTAAATTTTCTGCTCAGACACAATTCCTGACATTTTAAAATAAAATCGCTTTAATGTTATTTTTTTATAATTTGCAAGACTTATACACTTTCATTCTTGAACCACAAAAAATGAAAAAAATATGGTTCTGCACTTAATACAACAAATAACAAAGACATGCTTTGTGTGGCGGACGTGAGGAGAAAATAATAAAGCTTTAATATTAAGCGTTTATTGAAGCGCGTATTGCACTTGCGAGACCAAGCGAGAGACTGTACAATCGATACATATTCGATCTATAATCTAATGTAATATCTATACTTATATATTATGCTCGTTACAAATCATATTACCTCATGTTACAATAGGTACAATATTCCCCCCTTTTTAAAAAAAATAAGTAAAAAATAATATATAAAAATGAATACATTTTAACGCAAAAAAAAAATGTAAAATGTATACAATTAAATTCTAAACATAAAATATAGTTTGCAAAAAAAAATATTATTAATACCTAAAAATATCATAATTACATGCTATTACAGTTTCCTTACATCTATCACAAATTATTTTTTCGAACATGAAATCTTTTACCTATTCAGCATAATTATTCACTGCACTACTCGAAATTATGTGTTTAACATATCAGTATACACTTGCACTTTTTAACTAAGACGTACACTGGCACTTAAAACATTATACTGCAGCAGTTAAATCTGGCATGCTCTGCATTTCCTTCCTTATAGTCTCTCTAAATTTCCTTCGGCAATATCTGTATATTCCAAACGTGATTACCATAAGGATTATTAAAAATAATAAGCCGAAATATATATCACTTTTAACTCAGAAATTTGCGAAGTATTATTTCCTCCCATTTGGGCGATTATAACTTCTTCCTTCTTTTCTTCTTTGCTCTGATTATAACCCATTATAATTATTGGCAATATAATTAGAGAATGTGAATGTGTATAGCTTCACCAAGATGCAGATTTTAAATAAATTTATCTCGGAATCTTACTACTGGCTTGCTGATTCGGCCGGATCGCGTTACTTTATTATTTACATGTGTCTCCTTGTTTGGAATTTCGATACTAGTGCTATCCCGCGTATCAAACTCTTCATTATTATTTAATAAAAATGCTGGCTTTAATCTATCAATAGAAACAGTAGATTCTTTGTCTGCCATTAATATTTTAAAATGTTTTTCTTTACGGTCTAATACTTTGTATGGTCCTGAATATGGTGGATTTAAGGACTTACATAATTTATCGCACCGTAAAAATACATGAGAGCATTTTTGCAATTCAGGGTGAACAAATATATTTTTCTGTGATTTCTCTCGTTTGGGTACTGAACAAATATTACTTATATGTTCTCTCAGTTGCTTTAAAAATGTCTCGCTATCGGAATTTAGTGGCGTTGTAGGCTCAAAAAAATCTCCGGGTAGCTTAATTGGACTGCCATAAACCATCTCTGCTGCACTGGTTTGCGTACAATCTTTTAGGCTTGCTCTTAAGCCTAGTAGCACAGTTGGCAACTCCTGAACCCAATTATTGTTTCCTCTAGTCATTAACGATGCCTTAAGAGATCGATGCCAACGTTCGACAGCACCGTTTGCCTGTGGATGGTACGCAGTTGTTCGAGCTTTCATAATACCAAGGCGCTTAGATAATTGATTGATAAGATTTGACTCAAACTGTCTTCCTTGGTCAGTCGTAATTCGTAAAGGACAACCAAAACGTGAAATCCATCCTAAATATATTTTCTCTGCAACAGCCTCAGCTGTTATGTCTCTTAAGGGAAAAGCTTCCGGCCAACCCGTGGCTCGGTCTAACATCGTAATTAAATATCTGTATCCTTTGTAAAGTGGTAATGGACCAACAATATCAACATGTATATGTTCAAAACGATTGCTTGTGGGAAATTTACCAAAAGGTGATATTGTATGCCTATGTATTTTACATTTCTGACAATCTATACATGCTCGAGCCCAGTTAGCAACATCTTTGTTCATAGAATGCCAAAAGAATTTATCGCATATCATCTTTCTAGTTGATCTTATACTCGGATGACTCAATCCATGTACGGCGTTGAAAGCCTGCACTCGGAATTCTTTAGTCAAATATGGTCGTGCGAATTGTTTTGAAACTTCACAGTAAATTGATTCTTGACTGTTATGAAGTTGAAACTTTTTAAAACTTAAATTTTTAGATTTTAATAAAACTTGTAATTCTTTATCTTTCTCCTGAGCTTCACTAAGAGCATTGTAGTCGATGTATGATGGCATATTAATTTCCGAAATTCGTGATAACGTGTCAGCAACAATATTTTGAGATCCACTAATGTGTTCAATATTCGAACAAAATTGCATTATAAAATCGAAATGTCTTAATCGACGCGGTGTATCGCTGTCTGTATAAGAATTTTTTTTCAAAGCATAAACGAGTGGTTTATGATCTGTGTAGACTGTTAAGGGGCGTCCCTCAATCAAATATCTGAAATGCTTTATAGCCATATAGATAGCAAGTAATTCTCTATCGAAAGCACTATATCGCGTTTGCGCTTCGCTCAGCTTAGTGGAGAAAAATCCTAAAGGCTTCCATGTGTTGCCTTCACGTTGCTGTAATACTGCGCCAATGCAAGTCTTAGACGCATCCGTCATAAGGGCTATATTCGCGTCTGCAGCTGGATGTGATAGTGTAACGGCGCTGCTTAGGCTCTCCTTACACTGTTCAAATGCCGCAATTGACTCGTCTGTCCACCTTACTTCTGTCTTGTCATTTTTTCTAGAGTTATGTAAAAATATATTTAATTTTGACTGAATCTCTGCTGCTTGAGGAAGATGTCTTCTGTAAAAATTAATCATACCTAAAAAACGTCTGAGTTCCTCGATTGTTTTAGGCCTAGGAAAATTAATTATAGAGCTAACTCGTTGTTCTAAGGGTTTAATACCATCTTTCGAAACGTGGAATCCCAGAAACTCGATTTCGTTCTGCCCAAAATTGCATTTTGAAGTGTTAATAGTTAAGCCATATTTATTAAATCGCTCAAATACTAGTCTGAGGTGTTCCTTATGTTCGGATTCAGATTTCGACGCTACTATTACATCGTCGATATATACAAAAATAAAATTAAGATTTTGAAGTACGACGTTATTTAAAAATCTCTGAAATGTTTGAGCTGCGTTTCTTAGCCCAAACGTCATCCTTGGGAACTCAAAAAGACCGAATGGCGTAGTGATGGCTGTCTTCTCTATGTCTTCACTATTGATGGGAATGAAATGATAGGCACGTGTTATATCGATCTTCGAAAATATCTTTTTACCCGACAGTAAATATGTAAAATCTTGCAAGCGTGGAATCGGATACCTGTCAGGCTTAGTGATGGCATTTAATTGCCTGTAATCACCACATGGTCTAATACCACCATCCTTTTTCGGGACTACGTGGAGTGGACTTGCCCAACAGCTCTTCGATGGTCTACATATGCCTACGTCTTGCATGATTTCAAATTCCGATTTTACCTTCTGATATTTGTCCGGAGCTAAAGGTCTGGGTCGCGCAAATACAGGAGGTCCTGTAGTCTCAATATAATGAACAACAGAGTGTCTTGGTGTATCTTTGAAACAAACAGGTTTCGTTATATCGGGATACTCTAACATTAAGTCGTAATATTTATTATTTATATCTAACGTAGTAATAGATGACTCATCGTGTTGCACTATCGATGTTATAGTATCTATATTTGTTATTTGATCAATAAGTCGACGACGATATAAATCTACTATAAGCTTATGATAGGTTAAAAAGTCTGCGCCTAATATTGGTTGTTTAACGTCCGCTAACACAAAAGTCCACCGAAAAGGTCGGCGTAAATTTAAATTTAACACTAACGATTTAACACCATATGTCTTTATTTCACTGCCATTAGCTGCATAAAGTTTATATTTATCACTAACTACATTGTCATAGAGTCGTTTTTTGTACGGTAACACTGAAATATTTGCACCTGTGTCCACAAGAAAACGTAAACCACTTTTGCAGTCGGTTACGCATAAACGGTGGAACGGCGATATGGTGCAGACATCCACCCTTGGCTGCACCTTGTCTAGTTTTCCGGCTGCTCCTTCCAAGCACATGGCTCAACACATTTCTTTGCTTTAACGCCGAAACGGTGATGATAGAAACATAGCCATTTCGATGATTCGGACCTGCGGCGTCGTTGTTCGGATACTGAACGTCCGCGTGATGTAGTACGTCGCCTCCAATTACATCGAGTACTTCGATACCTTGGTCTCGATCTCTCAAGTTCCATGACCTTCACACTTAACTTGGCTATTTGCGACATAAGAAATGACGTATCATCCGATTTTTCAGCTTGACAATTTACTTCAGCAGCATGTAAAGGTCTCGTGGTCTCCATAATTTTGTCAGCGATAGCTGCAAGGTTATCTAGATCCTTTACCTCGCTAACTGCCAACACCGCTCGAACTGACGTGGGTAAATGTCCTTGCCACATGATACACAGCGTTTCATCAGGTATCTTATTACGAGCCAAATCCCGCATTCGCCTAAGAAGCTGAGAAGGCTTCTGATCGCCAAGTTCCATTTCCCCCAGCAACTTCTGGAACTGTCGGTTCTCCGACTCTTCGTAAACAGCGAGCAAACGATTTTTCAAGGTCTCATATTTATGTGTTCCTGGTGGATTAAGCACAATATCGCTAACCTGCTCGATGACTTGCTTGCCCAATTTCGGAAGCAACAAGTTAAACTTCGCTTCATCGCCTAATTTTTGAGAAGCTAGCACCGCCTCACACTGGGCGAACCATAATCGCGGCTGGTCGCACCAAAATTCCGGTATTCGCGATGATACGCTGATTGTTGCTAGTTCTGAATCTTCACGTAAAGTTTCCTTCGCTTGTACGACTGGTTTAGAATTGGTAGCCATCGTATATTTGATCTTCAGTCAGGTGTTGTTTTTCAGTCGGGGTCACCAATATGTGGCGGACGTGAGGAGAAAATAATAAAGCTTTAATATTAAGCGTTTATTGAAGCGCGTATTGCACTTGCGAGACCAAGCGAGAGACTGTACAATCGATACATATTCGATCTATAATCTAATGTAATATCTATACTTATATATTATGCTCGTTACAAATCATATTACCTCATGTTACAATAGGTACACTTTGTTTTTTTTTAAATACTGTATAGATGAAGGGTGTGAAAATATTATATAGCACAATGTGTTTTCGTGGCGAATAGGAAGCCAATATGCATTTTTCATATCGAAAAACCCATGATAGGTTCTTAACAATTAATTAAAATTAGTTGGCTCCGCGAACGTTACTAGAAAATTCATCATCATGATCAGGAAGAGAAATTACAGGGAAGTTTTTACTAAATTATAAAGAATCTTCTGTTATAGTTTACGGAGTACAGAGGTAGCGATGTATGCAATTACTAGACCTACATTTAATTTATTTTTACTATATATAATTTTTAATATAATCAATAAATACATTACCATTTGCAGAACCGTCAGGTATTTCTTCCACCACAAGTACTTTTGTACTTTGGGACCGAGAGCGGCGAGTAAGTAGTATGAGTACATTATAATGTGGACAAATGTGTTAAGCATCCCGAAGAACGTGGAATGACCACCTGAAAAAAATATATAAAGTAAAAATTTTTAAACAAAACAATATAATAAAATTATAAAATATGTATACGATATGTATGAATGCTTATTAAAACGTGTAATTAAATATTATAAAAGATTTATAACATCACCGCTGTATATTTTTTACACAGACGTTAATTTAAATTTTAAGATGTGTGCGAATATCGGCGTAAAATAGCAAAGGACATTGAACTGGAGGCTACACAATACACATAATAGATTTTGTTCTTTTTATAGAAAAAAATAAATGAATAAGTAGCGCTGTTTTATTTTAGAGAACATTAAGTAATTTTTGGTGATAATATAAATTTTTGTAATATAACTGTGAATGTGTTTTTTTCATACTTCTAAGAGAGATACCTATACTAACTTAATATAATAATATTATGGGAAACTTTTGTAACGACTTTCATACTATGCGGTTTAAGCCACGGGTAAAAGCTAGTTTCAATATAGCTAGTACCAACATATTTTTTCATGATACATACGATGAATATTGGCAATGATAATAGTAAGGACTTTCTTTCTGATTTTTGATCAATTTATAGACATAATCTCATAAATACATTTTGAAGTTTACTGTATATGTTGCAGGGAAATTGTAAATTCCGTTAAATTATAATTTTACTAGTGAAATTATAATTACCCGGAGTTTAGTCAACCGCCCCCTTTTTTTACAATATCGCCTAATCGAAAATTAAAAATTACTAATAAATAATCTCTTCAAATTAAAAAAAAATACTAAATAGTCTACCTAGATTCTATACATATTAAAATCTTAAGACGGGTCGTACTTTCTTACAGACGAAATTACATTTTTGATTTTAACAACGTTTTGATTGGTTGATTCACAGATCGCAGTGAATCGACCAATCAAAACAGACCGAGGCCTCCCATCACATCCTGGTATTGTTACTATTGATAATTTAACTAAGATTATTACAATTTCACAGAATGTGCTTAGGGAGATTATAACATAACTAAAAATGCCCCGTGATATTGTAAAAAAGGAGACGATTGAGAATCCTCCGGATAATTATAATTTCACGGGTTATTACAATTTCCCTGCGACATACACTATATGTACAAAATTTTATTTGCGGAAACGTAAGTAACAATTTTTACATGAATTAATTATTAACTTTGTTACATATATTTCAAACTCTTCGTACATAATGTATGTATGTGTTCAGCCCTTTTTAACGTCCCACTGCTGGGCACGGGCCACCTTTCAATATGAGGGGGATCAGGCCATAGTCCACCACACTGGCCAACTACGGGTTGGTGGACTTACATATCTTTCGAGAACTTGCTAGTGTGCTTGCTAGACATGCAGGTTTCCTAACGATGTTTTCCTTCACTGTAAGGCAAGTGGTAATCAGTTTCGAATTGATTCGCACATGAAAATGTCAGAGGTGCGAGACCCGGGATTTGAACCCGCTTTACTCAGTTTCCCAAGCGAGCGCGTTACCACATGGCTACCACTGCCTATCAATAATAATGCCTGTATAAGACTGTTTGGTTTATCGTTCATGCTTTGCGGTAATTCCAGTACCGTAATTAGTATGTAGTGATCATACTCGAGAGGAATTAAATTACCATTCCGCATCCTAAATTACAATGTTCTTCTTATGATTTAATCATTTTTTTTAAAGTATTTTCCACGAATTGCAAAATAATGTAATATTACCCGAGTATTAACATACAGATTGTGAACTTGTATACCGGAAATATGATAGAGAGGAAAATATATGATAAGTTATGGCAGTATGAATATAATCCATACATAAACAATAAAAATTAAATAGGAGTATACTTTATTATTCGAATTCAAACAATTGAATTGGGTAATAATAGGTGGTGACCTCTATACATATAATAAAATTGTAACTACGCCGAATCTGTACATTAAATATTTTTTGGAAAATCTTATTGAAATAAACATTATTATCGATACAGATTTTAGAATTTTTGTCTGTCTGTCTGTTACTGCACACAAAAAAAACCACTGGAGGGATTTTGATGAAATTTGGTATGGTGATAGCTGGTTATCCAGGTCAACATATAGGATACTTGTTACCGCGAGAAAATATCTCTTTTCTGAGAAAAAATACAAAAACTGCATTACATGAGTATACTAATATATAAAACCTAAGAATTTTTGGTCATTCGGTTTTTGGTCATCGGAACGCGGGCGGAGCCCCCGGCAATGCTAGTTTTAAATAAAATTATCTTTTCAACAATCATGGTCACGGGAGACCCCCGTAATAATTTTATTTAAAATGTTAAATATTCGCGTAAATCTCTAAAGGTGTTACAATTTAAAATATGCTCAATTATAATTATCATCATACTAATTCTAATAGCCCTTTAAAAATATTCTACCTTAATCACACACATTTTATTAAACAAAACTTGAAACGCACGGTGTTAATTATGACATACCTTAAATAACGTTATTTTATTTTAATCATTTTAGATTTTAAGATATGCAGTATTTATGTGGAAGTATATAACAAAATATAACAAATAGCATTAATTTTTTCTCAGTCAGGCCCTGCACTACATTTATGCATAACCGTCTAATATACTTTAGTAAATGAGATAAAATGTTCAAACATACCTAATTCTTAGAAATTTTCTGCCTATTGTTAATATAAAACTTATAAGAAAATTTAATAAAAAAAATGATTATAATGTCGGATTGCTTGCGTAATATCACTGTCAGTAGATAGGGGATCTCGTAAAAAAAAATCGATCCTGCTCAAATTACTATGAAGTAAAAAATCTTCGGTATTAATACTGTAATCAGTTTGAAGCTTGAACCGGAATTAAAGTCTAACGGAATATTACACGTAACGTCAATACATCCACAGCACTATAACGAGTTCTTAATGTGCTGAATTAATTTATAGATAGAAATACAGAGAATATTTGGGCATAAGCGAGAAAACTTGTGTAGTAAATTAACCAAATACCTCTCTCAGAAATTTTATAAAAACTTGTTATGAATAAAGGTACACAGCTTCATAATATCGTTGGCTCACTATTACAAGGTTCTATGTTAATTTTAATAAAGTTTAGTAATTTTTACATAGAACTTCGTTATTTTGTTAACGTAAAAAAATAACATAGAACTATGTAAAATTGAATATTTTGTAGTTTTAGTGCCGCTATCTAGTGGTTTGTTTTTGCAAAACTGTAGCTAATGACACATAAAACCTTGTCGCATTAATACCTAAATAAATACTGAAATTGTAACATAGAACCTTGTAATTGTGAGCCAATGATATGATAACTAGTAACAAATTTTTTGAGTGGAATGATATATTTAACATGCTTATTTCTATCGTTTTCAAGTTTTTTATTGTTCAATCTAAATCGATATGTAATCAATGTAAAAATATTAATGTTCTTTTCCGATTGCATTTATATTTCGACAGTAGTAAAAATAAATTTATTTATTTATGTACCACCAAAATATACATATAAAACAGAAAGCAGATTCTTTGTATACAAAGGATGATTTATCTTTTTAAGCGCTGATCTCTAGCAGAAACTCTCGAGCGTGAGAATAAAAAAAAATGAGGTGCGGTGTAGGTGCAAACTACAAACATCAATTATTATACAAATATACAAATCTACAAACATACATATATATACATTACATACATACACCTATTTAAAGTAATATACCTATTATATAATAAGAAAATTATGTGGAATGACTCAGATAAAGTTCATTTAAGCGAGATTTAAACAGTTTCAGCGATGGATCTAAACATTTTCAGCGATGGTTGTCTCGCTTCGCTCGAGTTCCTCCCTAGCTGGATTCCCCATACAAACTTTCATTCCCATTTTTGACCCCTTAAGGGATGATTTCCCGATTAAAAAGTATCCTAAGTCCCCGGGGTCTCAAACTATCTTCTTACCAAATTTCATCTAAATCGGTTCGGTAGATCCAGAGATTACCCTCTACAACGTCACAAACTCACAATATCACAAACTCACAAACTTAACCTCTTTATTATATTAGTATAGATTATCGTGAAGGGAGTTCCAGAGTTTTGCTGCTTGAACTGTCAAGGGTTTTTCATAAAATATAGTGTTATATGAGTTCGGGGATCGGAAATTAAAGCACGTCTTATGCACTGTTGATGTTTTACAAGAGTGACTTATGGAGATTCACTAACACGCGCAGTATATACACAGTTCTGGTTAAAGTTTAAACTCAGTCACTGGACACTAATTTTCACCACTAGATAAACATTCACTAAACTTCACTCCACTTTTCTTCACTTTTTCATACTTCTTCTCAAACTTCACTTAGCTTCGAAATTCAACTGATCTATCGACACACTGCCGGCCTTTTTATATGCATAAACAAAATACACTCTAGAATTATTTTTTTATTTAAATAATTAAAATTATAAAAATGTTTTAAAATTAAATTAACAAATATTGTAAGGTACGTTGGTGCCATTTTACTATTTTTTGAATTCATTTTGTTAATTTGTGGGTAGGTTGTCTGTAACAACTATATAATGCCTTTGAGACATCTAACACCTTAGTCTCTCCCGTGATTGCTGTAAAGCATTCGAAACGTCGGGAACCAAAAATCAAAATAAATCTGTGAAAAAATCCGAAAAGGTAGTTTTATTTAAAAAGTAATTTAAATTTACATTTTAACCACTCTGATTTCCAAGCCACATAAACACACCTGTTTTGTCCGGCATTTTTTAACAACAGAATATTATGTTGCAGAAGTTTGTTTATGAATATATATAATGGTAACATAAATAGTATCTTGTAGGCTACTATATTCTACTGATAGTTTTAAAAATAACAATTTATATTTTGCATAGTTAATAAATATTTCTATATATATTTACTTGTTTTCAAAAACAGTTAGTGTTATAACTTTATAAAACGAATATAAAAAAAAATATTTCATATTTTAAAATATTCATGGCCTTTTAAA